ATGGCGGAGGGTGGCAATAGCGGCTGCAGCAGTAGAGGATGGTGGGGAGGAGGAGCATGCGGCGGCTGAACAAGGTCCAAGTGGGTGGCGCCGCTATGACGATGACTATCAGATGTTGTTTTGTTTATTGTTTCCATGTTGATTGATGTTTGTCTACAAGTCGGTGCCATGGATTTGAATCCGATGATCTTGTGTTGGCATATGGATATTTGCATGTCAGTGATTGGATTTGTTGAATGGATAAATAATTTTTTATTATGGTAGCAGGGGGTGTGAACCCGCAAGGAGGGGGGTTGGGGAGTGGCGGGGATTTTTTTTGTCCGCGGAGAATATTTTTGTGGGCGGGAGGAAGAGGTCAGCGCTACAAAAAAATCATTTTTGCATGCGGCCATCGTCCGGATGTGAAAGTCGTGTATTTTTGCAGGCCTTGAACCGTAGGCGCAGTGGATGGCCGACTGAGAAAATTTGTTTTGGCAGCTTGCAAAAATTTTTTTTACTGTGTTGCAACGGGTAAAGATGTTTTTTATGATATATTAAGAGCTGAGCAATAAATTGAAATAATTGGATTACTATACAGTACTATAATTAAAAAAGTTAATAAAAATCTTAACATTGGGATAGCTACAGATTATAATTAAAAAAGTTAATAAAAATATTTCCTGGGTTTTCGGCCGAAAGCCTCCCTTCCTTTTCATCCCTAAGCTAGTCCGCTACCTCCCTCCATTTGGTCTGCTTCTCTTCGACCCAGCCATAAGTGGAGCCGTAAACCCAATTCACAAAATCGACTACAATATTCAACCTCCCGAATATCACTACCAACTTTAATGTCACACCCAGATATTCACGGACCAGAATTTCTAAGCTGAATGTGCATTAAACCCCTGTCCAGGACCAGCCAGGGTACACAAACGACAATTGTTGACATATAGATCCATGTCTTACAAAAATATAAAAGATTACAAATGCAGCGGAAAAGATAAAAGCAAGCTAAGCCTGAAGACTTGACTCCTGCAGCGGGCGACTCCATTCCACAGGCTTCCTTGACGGCAGCGACGAAACCAACCTCTTCGAGACATCTTCAACTGAGAAGGACTTCAACTCTGGTGAGGGGGAAAAGAGAGCAAGACTGAGTACTACCCACTGTACTCAGCAAGTCACACCGGAAGAGGAGGTATGATGCAAGATATATCCAAGGGAGGCTAAATGTTCTTTTGCATAAAGCCGGCATTTCAAAGCAGTAATTGAAAGCAGTAAAACAGTTGTAGTAATTAATCCATATTAACCAATCACTGTCCAACGTTACACCACGTTGCAACAGGCCCAAACCACCACCTGAACTAACCAGTTCCAAAAGCTAACTAGGGTGAAACTAATCACGGTGAATCTGGTCGACCGCCCATAACCGCGGGTACGGCTATTCGAATAGTTTTACTCTGATAAGAGGTGTACAACTGTACCCACAAGACACAGCCCCACGACACGTTCCCGTGCGCCGACATGCCACCACGACATACCGGAAAGAAGCCGTGACAGGACCCTTCGCATAACCCCGTCTAACCGATCGCACCACACCTTAAGGTTCGCTCCCGTCCCCAGCAGGCAACGGGCAGCCCCCCTTTTGTGCCGCGGTGAATCCGGAAGCCGATCAACTGGACACCCCGGCCGACCCAACTCCATCACGCCCACCCTCGCCTAGGTACGTCGGCTAGAGAAAAGCTACACTACAAGCCCAGCCGTTGCCCACGCTGGCTTGTGGTAAGTACGATAAGTTCTTCCAGGGCATCCCGCGAACCGGTCCTTAAATGCCATGGGTGCGACTAGCAAGACCATGCACCCACAGCCCACCATGACGTGTATTTTAATTAACCAACACCATTACGGTGGCACTAAATCAAAGCTATGCCAATAATCAAGTCTATGCTTTAATGTGATCCCCCTTTGTGCACTAGTTGAACTAAGCATGGCTAAGCATCTCCTAAACCAACATCTAGTCATTTTAATACCCACGTTATCAATGGCATAAGGTAAACAATATATGGCTGAGTAATAGGACCCATCCCACATGATATTGTAAAACAATGCAATATTTAATAGAAATGCGGGATATTTGTAAATTGGGTACAATATGATCAATTGTATTGCATGACTTGCCTTGCTCTCGCACTGATGAGACCACAGCAACGTCTTCGAGAAACCGCGGATCGACGAAACGACCGAAATCTACGCGACAAACAAAGCACACAAGCAAAACATGCTATAAGACTACTGAAACAGGAAGCAAAACCATTTTTAATGGATTCTATACATTTTTATGAATTTACTGAGACTTGAATGGACTTAATCGGAGCTCGGATGAATTAGTTATGATTTTTAGAAGATTCTCTGTGTTTTTACTATTAAAGAAAAGCCTTAATCAATTTATTGCGCAATATTGCCCCAGGGCCTGACGTCAGCAAGGGGTGGGGCGGCGCCGACATGCGGGCCCCACTGGACAGAGGCACAAGAGAGAGGGAGAGGGGGCGGCTGGCATGCGGGACCCACCGGGCGGCGGCTCATGGGGGGAGGAGGAGCAATCGGCGGGCGGGCCCCACCGGCCAGCGTCACAAGGGGGGAGGGAAGCGGCGAGCCGCCGGTCGGTCCGGCCTCGGCCTTCAAGCCGGCCGCCGTTATGGCGAGGGCGGCGGCGGCAAGCGGCATCCGACGGCGGCGGGCGACCGGGGCGACGGCGCTTCCGGCTGATGCTGCATCAGTGGGAGGGGCGGCGCGCGAGAGGAAGAGAAGGGGAGGGAGTTCTCACCGGGGTTCGCCCGGCGCGGGAGGATACGACGGCAAACGGCGACGGTGAGCGACCGGAGGGCGACGGTGAACGGCGGCCGAGCTCCGGGACACCCTAAGAGAGGAAGTGAGAGAGGTTAGATGGAGAGAAGGTGTCCACGGCGAGCGAGAGCCATGGCCGACAGCGGCAGCTATGGTGGTACTCACCGGCGCACGGAGAGAATGCGGGCCCCGACGGCGGGATTGGATGGGGATGTGGCGGCCGGGGTAGCTTTGGCGGCGGCGGATTGGCTTGGCAGCGGCTCCAGCGGCGGCGAGCGGCGGCCGGAGGAGTGGAAAAGGCAGCGGCGGCGGGTGTAGTGGCGTGGGAGCGGTGGAGAGCTCGGGAGCGGCCGATGGAAAAAGGAAAAAGGAGGAGGAGAATGCGGGGATGGTTTATATGGACTCGGGAGGGGCGGACGGGGCCGGGAGGCGGCCGGATTTCTCGCCGATGTGGGGGAGTGGGGAGAGAGAGTTGGGGGGGGGGGGATTCAAACCGAATCCCGCCCTTACGGGGCGCGCGCGGGGCGGGAAGGCATGGGGAAGGGGGCGGCGACGTGGGCGCGGCGACGCGGGCGCGGGGCGCGGAATGGAGGAGGTGGGGCGCCGGTGGTTGCCGACCGGCTGGAGGTTGGGGAAGGTGCTGACAGGTGGGCCCCACCTGTCAGCGCCCGAGGGAGTGAGGGGGAGGCGACCTGGACTTCGGGAGGGGGCGGGAGAAGCGGGCCGGCCCAGGAAGGGGCGCCGAGCACGGGGAGAGGGATGGGCCGACGGCCCATCTAGAGAAAAAGGAAGGAAAAGAGAGGAAAAGGATTTTTTCCTGGGATTAATATATTGCACATGCTCATTTTTAATTGGTTAAAATTATTTCTAAGGCTCTGAAAATTCCACTAAAAATCCTGTTAGCATATTTTGACATGTAGAATCCAAGAAAAATTCCACATGCCGATTCCGATTATTATTTGCATTTATTAATTTAGGGTTTCTCTTTTGCCTTTAAACAAATAATTTCTTCCAACCATTTATTAATTGAATTTTTGCTAGGGAAAAGAACTTCTGGGCGCGACATTCAACCTCCTGTAGTCCCATGCCGGGGAAGATGACTACCATATTCAACCTCCTGAAGATAATCCCGTGCTTGTACGGTTACCAGAGCAAATCTCCCCATCAAATCCGGCAGAATTTTTCTCGATCAGCCAAAATTGGTCAAGGGTTTTTGATTCACTTGATCTACTCTTTCCATTTTCCCCAAAATCAGAGCATAAAACTCGGGATAAAAATAATCGGGGAAGATCGTTATCATCATCGGCAACTCTAAAACAGAGATTAAATCTGGCAATTAAAGCTGAATCGAAGGGAAAATCATGAAGAAAATGATGAGAGAGGAGTGAGAAAAAAAATTTTTGCAATCAAATTGGAGGATAAAATGCAGAATCGATATGGCGGTGGCGCGGTGCTAGGGTTCTCCTCGGGAGGCGTGCGGCACACAGATGGGATTAAAATACTGGATGAGAAAAAAAAAGCGCACGTGAGAAAAAACCAGTGACAAAAAGATTGACCAAAAAAACCAAAAGTGTCCGGGAGGTGTACGGTGAATAAATCGGATTAAAAAAACCAAAAAACCAAAAGCCTTAGTGTGCGCGCATAAATAACTCTTTTGCGTGCACAGAAAAAAAAGGAGAAAATACCGGTGAAAAAAACCAAACTGACTTTTTTTTACTGGGAGATTTTTTTTCTTTTTCTACTGGAGTCGGACACGAGATGTTTTTTTTCATTTTCTACTAACAACGGAAGCTTTTTTTTTCGCTCGTTAAGTCGGACTTTTCTTTTTCTACTTTTTTTTTTACCTTTCTTTAGTCGGACTTTTCTTTTTTCCATTTTTAGAGAAGACGGCAATTTCTTGTTTATAAGTAAACATAAAATTAAAACCGATTTAAACACGGATGACGTATCAAAATTCTGACAAAAACATCTTTAATTTTTATAATTTTTTTTAAGCAGCGGTTAACCGTATAACCATTACGTACTCCACGACAGCTCCTCTGCGACGCTTGCTTCTATCGGCCCGTTTCCATCTCGCTCTACGCGACTACGCGAGGTCGACGTACCGTCGGGACACGCGGGAGCCCGTGTCCGTGAGTACCAAAAGCCAAACCCCATTTTCTTTATATACTCCGGATCTCTGCGCCACACCACTCATCAGCTCGCTCTCGCCTATCTTCTCCTATAATCTGAGCCTGGTCGCTCGTGGTTCACCGGGAACAGACGCGCTCGATCGCGCGCCTCGTCGGCAGTCGCCACCGGTGAGCACGTACGCGCATGTTAATTAACCATGTCATCACTACCTTCTAGACCTCACACACTGACCTCATTTATCTTACCTTGTCTTCTTGTTTTTTTTTTTTTTCACGCAGTCTACGCCGTCGAGCTAGCGCCCGTGGCTGCCTTCGCTCCAACAGCAACCCGACGAACGGCCCTCGCCGCGCGAAGCCCTTCAATTCTTCCGAAGAATCTATCAAATCAGTGAGATTAATCTACACAAATGTACTTCCTCGATCACGTAGTTCGAATTCGTCCCTAGCTAGCTAGAACAACCCGCAAAATCCTCTGAACTGGAGCACCCGATCGATTAATTGCAGGCTTGCAGCTGAAGAACTGAAACTGATCATCCCGTTGTAGTTCCCCCCCTGAGACCCAACGGCGGCGTATGTCGATCTCCTCGTGCCGGACCTGAGCAACGTCGTCGGACAAACTCGATCTCCCCGCTCCGAACAACCACTCGGTAAGAATTAATCCCGCTGGCTTTTGTAAATGCTCTATCTGCAGTTCTGCACCCCCAAAATTAAATTAATTAGTCACAATAGTCGTCGCCGGTAGCATCCTGTACTAGTCACTAGTAGATTTGGAGTAACTGTACGTTAATCGCTAATAGGAGTATTAAAATACTGCCACAAATTTTTTGAGTGAAAAACTTTCGGATATAACTATACTGTAATTGCACTATAACTGTAGTGTAACTATACTATAACTACACTTTAACTACATTGTAATTACAATATAACTTATATAAAACTTGTATTCAACTATTATTTGGCTGATTAGCAACGGGATCTTACGCGTGACATGTGTAAAAAAATTTTCTCATTTTTTTCCTTCATACACAAATCTCGAAGCGATCTAATGGTCACGAATCTGAAAGTTTTGGGAGTAAAAAAACTTGTAGAAGTTTTCTAGCAATTCCGAATTAATTACTATACATGGTTAGAGTTTTCAAACTTATGCTCATTTTTTCAGTTCTTTGGGGTTAGCATGTTAATTTACAATAATTGAAATTATTGGTCACAATTATTAACTCAATAAATTAATAAAAAATACCAAAGTTCACTCCCACGACCTAAAACTTTCCCACATTAATAAAAAAATAGAGTCGAAGTAAATCTACAATTTAAAACATTTGAAATTTTGAATAAAAATAAATATAGCCATGTATAAATACAATTTAAAGAAAAATCAAATTTTGTCCTAATAGATAAAATATAATTAATATTCACATAAGAGTACATGTAGAAATACAAGTTAGGGAAAATATGAAATTCGGATTAAAATATCTAAATAATTAATATTTGGAAAAGAGCTCATATATAAATAAATTTAAGAACATCAAAAATTCGGATTAAAAATAAATAATATTAACAGGAAGAGTCATGCATAAATACAATTTAGAAATGCCTAAAATTCACATAAAAAATATTATAAGAAAATATTTAATGCAAGAGTACAATTTGGAAATATTATAAACTTGTATTGAAAAATAGTATAAAGAGGAAGAGTCCACGTAGAAATACAATTTTTAAATACCTGAAATTCTGGTTGAAAATAAATATAATTGAGAAAAGTGTTCATGTAGGAGTACAATTTAGAAAAGAAAAAAAAAGATTGTCACCACGCAAACTTTATCATATCTTCCAATTGGTAGCAGCTGGTATATATCCTGGAGAACACTACTTCAAAAGTGAAGAGTTCTAGGTGTCAAATGGATTGGTCTTTAATTGCAAATTTTGAATTTCAAAATTAAATTAATAAGACAAACTTGAGAATTCAAGATATGTTCAACTTTGCATCTATTAATTCCGAATAGTTTGAATTTTGAGAGGATAAAATTAAAGAGCCTATGGTATCTCCAATTGCATCTTTTTAAACAAATAATAATACCATCCACCTAATCAGTGACTTGATCTTCCAGATTACCATGCAAGCTCCCTTAAAGTGCCCTTAATTTGAACAAACTTTATTGCGATACTAACATATATATATATATATATATATATATATATATATATATATATATATATATGTATATATATATATATGTATTATATTATATTATATTATATATTAAAAGTCCATTAAACTTCCTCAAAACGCTCTCAACTCGCCACGTGGCACTCTAATAAATTAGAGAAAATCCTAGGAATTCTAAAAAGAGCAAAACATCTAGCTCTCGATTTTCACTTAAATTTGTGGACCCATTATTTTATACCATCGGATCAAATCTATTAAAAGAACCTCCATTCCTCTAATCTACAAAAGGCATTACCCAAAAAAAGTACGTAAAAAAAGACAGAGAAAAGTAAGTAGGTACTCCTTGTCAAAAAAAAAAAGGGCCAGCGAAAGGGCCCGTAGCCTAATGGTTACAAGAGGCTCAGTAGCACCTGAGGTCCTGGGTTCGACTCCCCATGAGAGCGAATTTTTCAGGATTTAACGGCGTTGTGCTTTCAGTGGTAGGCGACGTACTCCTCGACAGCGAGGCGCCTGTGGTGACTTCGTAAATCTCTCCAGGATTTACCGGCCCAGTCTTCGAAGATGCTCATAACATATAAACAAGAATAACATACTACCTTAAAAGAAAAGCCCAAAAAACATAAAAGACATAGAGATATACATCCGCTTCCCCCACCTTCCTTCTTTTTCTTCCTGTATATAGGTGAGATAACAATTATTATTATTAGTGATAATAAACTTCAAATAATTATAATTCTTACAAACATTATATATCATTATATAACTTTTTACAAAACATTCGTGACAAAATTAGCTCTACAATGTTTAGAAATAAAGTTTATAAAATTATTTTTTACCCATTAAATTAATAATAATAAATTTTTTTCTTAAATCGGTGGACCATTCTATACTATTATTTTTAAATACTGCACTGTTTAAAAGCAATGTTTACAATATTTTATGTTTGTACCTACGAAATTAACAATTTGTGATCTATATTAACTAATTTACCCACTATTTTAGATTATTTTTAATAAAAATATTTTACCATCGCCAAATCTATTCCTTTTTTTAAGAAAAAAAGCCTCTGAAGACCTCCCTCGGACCGTCCACCCAAGGCAGGCACACGTCATTGCCTTCTACATGCATGGCAAAGCGTGGTTACTGGTACCACAGTTCAACCGCTTTGCTAAGGTGAGAACCTATCAGATCATCACTGAATAATGATCGGGTTTGTTAATAACATGAAAACAATTTGAAGGAGTCAGTAAAGTATACTAACGAGTAATGAGTGGATAGAGAATAAAAACAAATAGCTTACAAATATATATGAGTGATTGCATGATGTGTCATATTGTGCAAAGAGTTTTAGTAGTGACAAATACACCAGTAAAAAGGTAAGTATGTGCTAATTTCAATTGAAAAAAAAATTAGGCAAACTATGTTTTTGTTAATTAAGCAGTCATTACCCTTTTTGTTTCATGAGTACTTATGATGTAAATCAGATTTAACTTATTTACTATAATTTACATGACAAAACTATATTCACGATATAATCAAATTACATGACAAAAATATAATTTACTGCAAAACACTTCAAAATCTATGAATACACTACACATACTAATTACATTTGTATAATTCAGGTCCTATTTCAAACAAATAAGTTCCTTAAAACCCCGAAGAAAAATATAAATTGTTGAACTTCTACAGAGGAAAAAAAATCCAACCTTTGCGAGGCAATTCAATCACAAGAACTTTGAGTTCCTTATTCTCAAAATTTTTGCTAACAGCCATATTGCTTAGGAGTCATAATTTCTGAACAAACAATATATATTATTATGTTTCAACAATATGGATGCTGGCGCATGCGCGAGGGCCACCTTGCTAGTTGAGATGAAAAAGTAGATGCCTATGGAGAGCATAGGTATTTCATCATTTGCTGCATTTTCGGTGGGAAAAGATTTAGTTACTCCGATGATTTTTTTTTCTTGGTTCGATGTACCGTCCTTAACAAAGTTGTTGAACTTTTTCTTTCAGCCTAAACTCTTCAAACCGGAAGAATTAATAGGAGAAAAACATGGAGAAGCCGAGTGAAATTGCCAAATCGATATTTCTATTTCTGAAATCAGACGAGGCCATGGTCATGCGGATCGAGTTCCTGGTGGTGGTCACGGCCGTATTGTTCCTCCTGATGTCTATCTTGGACATGTTCCGTCATCGGTCACGCCACAACCTCATCAAGTATTTTCTATTGATCCTAGACGGCATAAGCGATTCCACGTTGATCTACACAATTGGGCTGATGCAGAGTGTGCCTTCGCTGAAGAAAGACCTGTTCCCGGTGTGGGCGCTGATGCTGGTCAACCTCCGGAGCAGCGTCTGCTTCATCTCGGCGTACGGCATCCCTGACCAACAGAACCGCCGGTTTACAGAGGTAGCAAGGGTGATGGCACTTATAGGGGTGGCATTCTTGAACACAACGTTCAACAGCCGGTTCAAGCATCCTATCTGGGCACTTTGGGCGATGCAGGTAGTGAGATGTGGCTACCTCTTAAGGGTGTACAGGCTCGCCACAAGGTCCTACTTGCATGGCTGGAGCTCACCGCTTCTGACAGCATACATGGGCACCCCCGATGGCGTTGCTGCGAACGGTGATACAGCCACAATGCGAGGATACAAGTACTTGGTATCTGGAGATCAGAAGCAAACAGTTGAAGTGAAGCCTCCTGAGTACAAGTTCACTCTGTTTGTCCCAGAGCACAGAAGGAAAATGCTCGTCACACTTGACAAGGTTTGGCAGCAGGATGCAAGCGACACTAGTTCGACTGACATCCTAACACCACAGATGAAAGACATGTGCCTGTCTTTTGCATTATACCGCTTACTCCGTTGCAGATTTGATGACTTGAGCCTGCCAAGTGACAGTGTCGTCAACACCAGAAGATTAATCAGTAAAATCATCGGCAAAGGCAACGCGGATTTCGCTACACAAATAAGCAACTACAGCGAGAAGACCTTCAGGATTGTGAGATCAGAGCTCGCGTTCCTCAACGACTACTTCTACACAAGATACCCCGTCCTCTTCTGGCGTGGCTTCCCAATCTTTGCTTCCTGCCACCCTGTGCTAACAATTGCTTTCACTGTTTGGCTTGGAAAGGATCTCCATAAAATTTACAAGCCTAAGCAGGGGGGCGCCAACGTTGATATCATCATTACGTGGGGGTTCATGTTCATCATCGTGTTCAAGGAGCTTTGGAAGATGATCATCTACTTGCTGTCAGACTGGACCAAGGTGATGGTGCTGTGCGAGTACACTGCCGACAGCTTTAAGCATGCTCCACGATGGCTTTGCAAGGGCTTTCTCTGGCTTCTATGCACTCGAAGGTCCAAAATTGTCCACCATTGGCACAATAAGGTAAATCAGTATGAATTCCTTCAATCATTTAATTACAGGCCTTGCAAGTGGAACATTCTCTACTATGGAACCCTTGGATTGTTCGCAAGACGAAGAGATGGCGAGAAACCAGGCAAATCAATCGAGCTGCCAGAAGACGTGAAGTCAGCCATTTTGAGGTCTCTCTGCTCACAAAACCTTGAGCGAGATTCTTTGGAGCCAAATTTCCCAATATTGTTTTCGACATTTGGACTTCCATGCTCCCACATCATCCTCGTGTGGCATATAGCAACGACCCTATGCGAGATTGAGCTTTCTCAACGTTACAACGGATGCTTAACTGATTCTGAGCTGCAGCATGCAGTCAAGGCTGGTAAGAACTCCCAGCCATACGTTGTAAAGGAAGAAAGGCTGGAAGGTGCACTGCAAGCTAATTACATAGTCGCAAGTTGTATTTCAAGATACTGTGCCTATCTGCTTGTCTCAGAGCCAGATTTGCTACCTGATACCTACTTAAGTTCTGCGGAGGTATTTGAAAGCACCGTGAAAGAGGCTTCAGATGTTCTAAAGGGATCTGACAACCTGCAGAGCATATACAGAAAACTGATGTATCATGGGGATGTTGTGAATGTCGATAATATGAACAGACGTCACCCAAGTGTGATACTCGCGAGAAGTGCACAAGTTGCTAAGTCCTTGGTTGAAACTGAAGTCATGGATCGTTGGGAGATGTTGGCTGGGGTGTGGGCCGAAATGTTAGTACATATAGCTCCCTCTTGGAATGCAGCAGCTCACAAGAAATGCCTTTCAACCGGTGGCGAGTTCGTAACTCAAATCTGGGCCATTCTTTCTCATTGCAACATACAAGAAAGCAATCTCTGGCCACAGCAGGAATCTCCAAATGATAATGAAGCAGAGCAGCAGGAAGAAAGTGTAAGTGGCAATCAGGCATCTTTTTCAGCACAACAGCGGGCAGCTGCTGGTCATGGTGGAGTAAGGGATGATGAAGCTGGACCGAGTGGGACAAAGCCAAATGATGAAACAAAAGACGATGACGAAAAGAAGATGTCGGTTAATTTGAGTTCAAGAACACCAATAAAACGTGACAGTGTGAGTTAGTATAATATTGTTGAACTCGAGCTTTCTTATGTCACATATATGTTCCTTTCTTAAGAACATGTCTGTTCATTCTCCATGTGTAGTAGTTTATATGGTTGTTGCTTGCATGTACTAAGGTGTGGTCTCTTGCCGTACTATGTACTTTAAACAGCTGCAAATATCGTGTTACTTTTTTTCTTATGAGTGTTGATCGATCTCCAGTTATTTTTCTGCGAGTAGTCCCAGTAAATCGCTCTTTGCAACTCGTACCAGTATTTGCACAAGGAGATTGAAATCAGAAGAGCCTACTTGAGTTGCATGAGCTTTTAGGCTTTCATGGAGGTTGGAGCAGAGAGATGTTGATGAGCTGATGACAAAAGAGAAACGCTACCATGAACTTACAAGTAGTAGTAGTTCCATGGTAGAAACTAGTACTAGGTGGCAGGCACGGTTCACGCGCACAGTTCGCATCTTTGGGCCGCGATAAGGCTGCGCCGCGCGTTATCCTGCGCGTTATCGTGCCACAACCTTACACCGAGTTCCCTTATCCTCAATACCAGAAATCTTTATCCCTAAACAATACAAAACCATTCAATTTAGGTCCCATAGCAGTATAGATGTCTGATTTCGCTGATGTGGTATCCTAGTCAGAAAAAAATAAAAAATATATGTGAGGCCCACATGTTAGCCGCCCTTTTCTTTTCTTCCCAAGTGGCAGCGGCAGGCAGCACATGGAGGGCCGCAAAGACATCGTCGACTTCCTCCTTGCCATCCAGCTTGTGGGGCCCACCAAGCTGCTCGAGTCCACGACCTTCATCTGGTTGGACTCACAGGCTGACACCAACAACGGCGGCGGACTTTATCGGTGCAGCGGCGGCGGCTAGCGGCCAGCGACAATGGCAGCGGGGGTGACACCAGCGGCGAGGGTGAGTAGGACAGCCGAGAGCGGCAGCGCGGGGAGGAGGAGGAAGAGGCGGGGGGCACCATGTCTTTGGCAAGAGGTCCTCCTCCATCTTCGATGTCCCCTCCCTCCCCCCTCATTCCCACCACTGCCGCCACCATCACCATCCGCCCAAGAGGTCCTCACCTCCCTTCACCGCTGCAACGGGTGAAGGCGGAGGCTCACCTCCCTTCGTCAAGCGTGGCAGAGGCGCTCCCTTCACCGCCGCCAGGAGGCTCACCTCCCTTCAATGCGATGGCGGGTGGAGGCGGAGGAGGAGGCATATGAGGTGTGCAGAGGTGGAGGCTGCTCTTCAGATCTCGGGAGTGGCGGCGGCAGCTGAGGAGCCCCCCGCCGGCCGCTTCTCGCCTCCCCTATCTCGCGCCGGCCATCCCTATCCCCATCCCCATCCCTATCCAAAAAGAAAAGAAAAGGAAGAAAAGTGCGGCTCACAAGTAGGACCTACATAATTTTTTATTTTTTATTTTGCTTACTAGAATGTCATGTCAGCGAAACCAGATATCCATACTGTTGTAGCATCCAGATTGCACGGTTTTAGTACAGTTTAGGGGTTAAGATTTCTGGTATTGGGGATAAGGGATGTCAAACCAACTCGGTGTAAAGTTGAGGGACAACAGGTGAACTTATTCTTGCGCATTTTCGGCTATCACATGTGGGCCGTGTGTAGCTTTGGGCTCCGTATTTAGACGGGAGTTTCACTCGACGATGCTCCCTGGGGCGCGAGAATGCTAAAGCGTAAGCGATCAGTGGAATTTCCACTTTTATCCCACAAGCTTTTTCGTTTTCGGCACGGAATTTTTATTGTTGGATTTTGTGCAATGGAAATAAGTTCACTTTCAGCTCCTCATTTTTGCCACTGAGTCTGAAATTTGTCCCTCACTGCATGTAACGCTTCGCTTTTCGTGAGGCGTTAAAAACTAATTCGGCAAAATTCTAATTTCAAAAATTTTGTTCTTTGAGTGATAGTCTAAGTTGTGCCAAGATCTCAATTCAAATCCATCCTTGATCCCTCTCGTCACCATCAAAAATTGCCTCCTCGAAATTCCCCTTCCGACTCAAGTCTCCAAATCAAACTCCGAAATTCTATCCCTCTCTTTGAATCATCGCCAAATACTTCCCCAGATCCAAAGTATCCAAAACCCCATCTTGAATCCTCCTTCGACTCCTTCCTCTCATCCAGATCCCAATTCCAAAGTCTAAGTCAAATTCCAAGTTCAAATTCTCTTCGAATCAATCTCCTCTGCAAAAGTTTATTTTGCCTCCCTCTGTTTTTGTGGGCCGAATTCCTTTCCCTCGCCCCATCCCTCCTCTCAGCCCGTTTCCCCTCCCCAGCCCATCTCTCTCCTCTGCCATCTCCCTCCCGTGTGCTGCACGAGCCGTCGCCGAGAGAAGGATCTCTCTCTCTCTCTCTCTCTCTCGTTTTCTCGCTCCCTCTCTATTCCTCTCTCACGCCAACGCCTCTTCCTGCTATCGCTGCCCAAAACCTCCACCGCCTTCGCCCAATCCCGCGCGCGCTCGCGAGGTGGCCGACCGGCCGATCGCAGCCGCGTCAGCTCTGACGCCGCTCGGCCCCGCTGCCCCCGCGCGCGTGCGTCCAAAGCCGGGAGGGCGCGCCTCTCTCACGCGCTCTCCCTCCTCCCTCTGCTCGCCCAAATCGGCAAGGAGCAGGGCTCCCTTTTCCCCTCCCTTTTCTGCTTTTTCCCCTGACCACCACCGCCATGCCCTGTCGCCGCCTGGTCATTTGCGCCCGTGTAAACACGCGCCTTGTCAGAACTATTCAAGCTATCCAACAGGACAAGGAGCCAGTCAGGCCCAGTCATAGCAAACTTCCTTTCCGGCGGTAGCGCCCAGAACTCTCTGATGGCTTCTCGCAACGATCTCGCCACTGTACATTCAACAGTCGCATGGAAACCATTTTCCTCCTTTACACCACAGATAGGGCAGATGCCTACTGGTTGTATCCTTCTTTTCCGTTTATACCTATAAAGTTTATACAAGTAAGGTCCCAAAAGCAGTTTGGACGACGGTTTCGGCAGATGTGGTGCTTACGTGGCTGGTTTGAATTGGTCATTGTCCTACGTGACGGTGTTGTGGCGTTGGAAGCAAAATATAAAAATTATATATTTTTTTAAAAAAAGTGGCGCACATATATCAGTCAGACAAAAGATTAAAAAATAGTGAGACCTACGAGTCACTAGATCCCACCCTCCCCTCCATCTCCATGGATGGCAGCGCCTCCTTCTCCCCTCTCTCCTCTCCTCTTGTCGCCATTGGTCCAAAGGGAGGAGAATGGTCGGAATTGGCGAAGCTCGGCCTGAGCGTCCTCTGGATCGGCAAGATGATGCCGCGTACTTTGCCGCCATCCTCTACCCTACCTACCCGTCTCCTCCAACCAATCCCTCTCCTCGACCCCCACCTCTTCTCCCATCTCCCCTCCTTGTCGATGTCGCCACGGCCGTCCCCAACTCGCTGCCACCACCACCTTCATCTGGTCGGCTTCCCATCAACGTTGACGAGACTAGCTAGCTAGTCGACGGAGGCTGGGATAGCCCTGGCTGGATGACAATCCAAGATGGTGTGTTTGTTCTCCACCTCCGGAACGGCCTCCACGGTTTTTGAGGGGATCCACCTCGATCCCATCCTCGATGGAGGGCGAGGCGGCATCGGACAATCTCACACTGCTGCCACCTAGACTGCTCGAGAGTGGGTGTGCGACGGAAGTGGAGGTTGAGGACGACGTACAGGGTGCGGGAAGGCTGGTTGGGGATGGCACGGTCGGTGTGGTCGAGGAGGATGACGGCTGGTCCGCTCCATTGGTCATTGCCATTGAGTCATCTATCTCTCTGCTGCCCACGCTGCTTGGGAGAGAGGAGTCAAGGCGACGCTTGAGCTCGGTGACGCCGACCGTCGCCCTTCTTCTCTCCAGTATATGTTGTGCCCTCCTCATCGCTACCACCATCTACTGCGCTCATCTCCGCAGTGAAGTCTCCTCCCTCACCGCCTCCACAAATTGCCAGGGGATCCCTCGTCCTGCCCCTCCTCCCCTTGCGATGGGGGTGGGTCAAGTCGCCGCCGCCATACTCTACTTGTCGGGGATGAGCGGGTGTTGCCCATGTTCCACGAGGTGGAGAGGCATGGTTGGTATGGATTTGGTTGGTAGCCGAGGCTATGGGAGGCCCCCCTCGCCAGTCTTCCGGCCGCCTCTCTCCCGACCCCGCTCACCGGCCTCCCCGCCTTGTCCCTCTCTGTGCGCTCTCACCGACGGGGAGAGAGGAGATAGAGGTAGAGAGGGTGAGGTGGAGGAAGTGGGATTCACATGTCAGTGGGTCGTACTATTTTTAATTTTCTTGTTTGATTGACATATGGGCCGCACATATTTTGTTTTAATTTTTTTTAGTTTTCAATTTTGCTCCTTTATTTCTTTCGGATCAAATTGCTACATGGGACGAATACCTAGTCAAATAAGCCACGTAGGTGCCACGCCAGCCAAAGATGCAGACAATACTACCGAGGGATCTCATTTGCACAGGTTTTATAAGTTGGAGGATGTATCGTATCCGGTTTTGCGGTGTCACACCCCAAACTGGTACCGCCGTACAACGGCACCTGACAGGAGCGTGTCGTAGGGAAAACGGCGTGAACCGCTTCCTACGAAACCGCGATCTCGGTACCAGTCCCAGGACATAGTGCTGGTACCCACGGTGACAAATAGGAATCATAGCAATCCTTAAAATAAATAGAGGACTTATTTACCTTAACTTAGGTTGCAGCTCAGAACAGCCCGAGAATGCAACCGACGACACGAACGAGGAAACACCAACAACAGCAGCAGCAGCAGCGGAACCAACGAACTAACACCCAACACCACAGGTGACGGCTGGGAACCAGGACGAAACCCTAATCTTCGCTTCACTTCATCTTCTCTTCAAGACGGAGGAACTATATATATATTTATATAGAGCAAGGGTGAGTACTTTCGTACTCAGCAAGCCATGGGAATTAAGTGTTTAATGCAGGCTTCAAAGGAAAGGCTGTTGTTTTTGCAATTGATTTTATTTAAACTCCTTTTTGGAACAGCTAAGTGAGTGCTTCTCAAATGACACGGATGAGACGGTGCGTCTCGTCCAGTCGGAGTATGTGCAATGTATCAGTCTTTGAATTGATTCAAGGTTGGCACCCGGCCAACAACTTTCAAACGGCCACTCGGGCCTAGCTGATCCCATCAGCTGCAGATTTTCCA